AGGAATGCGCTCCCCGGCCCCACCGCCCTGGGATGCCCTTTAAGCCCTGGCTCCCTCCTCCTCCTGCATCGCTGCTGCAAAGTCACACCCGATGGATGGGAACAAATGGTGCCGTGCCACAAATGCCACCCTGGCATCGCTGCCTGGGCAGCTCTTGCTCGCCAGCCCGACCCTACGGTGGGAAAGGTGGTGCTGCCCAGCTTCTCCCGCCCTGATTTATCCTTCCCCCAGCCTCTCGGTGCAGCGCGGCGCTCCCTTGCCTCCCGGCAATTCCCTTGGCTTGCCCAGGGCCCGGCGGAAGGTGGCCCCCAGCCCCTTTCACGGCTCAGACCAAAGGGTGGGTCATTGCCCACCCTCTTGGGTGAAGCAGCAGTCCTGCAGTCCCGCAGTGCCCGGAGAGGGTCCGGCTGTGCAGAGATGTCCCCTTGTTGCCCAGAGCGGGACAGGGCACAGGCTGGCCAGGCTGCCAGATCTTATCCAGGAGAGGCTGGGCAAGGCGAGCTGGCACGGGCTGGTCGATGTGGGTGAGCAGGTTGGCACATATCTCGTCTCCCCACCCCAGAGCCAGGTGGGGCCCTGCTTGAATCACACACCAGTATGCACCCGGGAGGGTGCTGCTCTCCCCCCGCAGCGCTGACCCTCGCCCACGTTGCCGGCTCCCCTCACCCCCCAGCGCTGGGGAAGGTGCCACGCTGTCACGGGGCTGCTCTCCCCAGCCCACGCTTGGTTGGGCTCGCGCCTGGGTCTTGGATGAGGAACCTCAGTGTAACATTGGCATTGCGGAGACCTTTCTGCCCACAGTGCTGGCATCTGCAGGGAGGAGATGTGTCACCCAGCCAGCATGGTGGTGGCTGCCTCCGTCTACCTGGTGTTTCTGTGTGAGCTTGGCCCCTTGGCACTGCCCAGGGCTCCTTGGAGAGCAGTTCATGATGCCCCATGTGAGGGCATGGAGGGAAGAAGCCCTTTTTGAACAGGATCCCACGTGCTCTCCAAGCAGGAGGGTTTCCTGCAGGAGTGTCAGCCCTGTAGGAAATTGGTCCAGAGCATCCCTACCTTGTGCATCCCTCACAGCACCCCTGCAGCGAGCAAAGAGCATGGAGAGCCTGGCAGGGACCACCCAGCCAGGGGGAAACCCCCAGAGCCAGGCTGGAAATGCTGGATGTAGGTTGTCCGAGACCCCAAGCACTGATCTGACCCCGACTTGCAGAGCCCAGGGCTTGATCCAGCATGGGCTGAACTGTCTCCAGCAGCCCCAGAGCCAGACCCAGACTCCAGATGCAGCTGCTTGGTCCTCCTGTGCCGTGCTGGACTTCGGCCACACGTGAGCAAGTGCATCCACACGACCTCCCCGTCCTCTTGTGCCAGTGTAGGAGCACAACAGCTAAAACAAGGGGCACAAACCTGCTCGGGTTCCCTGGTGCCAGCAGCAAGGGTGCCCTTATCGGGCCTGTTATCGGGGTGTTTCTCTGGCACCCACAATCCCCTGCTTTGTATGCTATCACTTCTTGGGTATCTTGGCTCATTCCCCAGGAGGAGAAAGTTCAGGCTGGAGCAAAACAGCAGCAAACACAGGTGTGGGCACACCTGCCTCCAGTGCCCAGGGCCGTGCCCCCAGCTCCCACACGCCGTGCCACCCAGGGCCGAAGGGGGATCACCTAAGCAGCCTCCGGACCAGGCTGGCAGCAGGGTGCCTGGAAGCAGGGTGTGATGGAGGGACACCACGGCTTCGCACCACGCTATGGCACAGCCTGTCATAAATGGGAATGCCCGGAGCCTCTTGGGACACAACACACACCAGGGCACGGAGGACAGGCTTGGGCACTGCAGCGAGGGGCACCGAGGGGCACAGATCGGGAGAAACGCCGGTCCCCTGGCACCTCTGCTTGCTCCCTACCTCAGCAGGGTGGGCCGATGCTCGCCAGGAGCACCGTGGGTCCTGCCCCAGCAGGGACGAGTTCGAAAGCAGCAAGCCGTGCCCACATCGCCCGCCTCTTGCCCGTGGGCACTGTCACCGCCTCCCGAGGCAAGCAGCCCAGATGCCTGGCTCCGACACCCAGCCCTGGCAGGCCGCGCTGGGGACGGTGCCTCGCTTCCCCTCTTCACCCAGGATGTCAGCTGGCTGCAGCCTCCTGGAGCGAAGGGAAATCTCCCACTCCCGTTTTTCTCCCGGCTGGGTGGGCTCGCTGCTCACCGTACAGCCGGGAGCCCACGCCGGGTGCCGGGTGCCTTGGCGGGCGTCCCGGCTCCTCCTTTCCCACCTGAGCGGCAGCTCGGCATTATGTAAGTGCGGGAAGAGC